GGTAAAGCGTAGAGCTCTGAACTCGTTTACTTAATGGAGATAAAACCTCTCGTCACTTACTCCGTACAGTAACAGTAACATTAATTAACTTTGTCAGACCTTTCCAACAACACGTTTTGTACTTGATCGAAAGGGGTAGCTGTAGTAAGTTTGTCAGAGTAATATTTACTTGGTACTTGGTACGGTTCACGGTGTCAATGGCACGCACGCGGTATCGAGGGGCGAGCGAGGGCAACGCACCCCAGGCTACATCGCGCTGGAAACTTTAGCGGCGCGTGCGCACGTCGTCGCACGTTGCGCGGTCAGCTGCGGCGTAGCCTAATCGACTTGCCTCTACTGTAGGATTGTTATCGAGGAGCAGAGGATGTATGACATCATACCTACTACATGGCGACAGCTTATATTTCCGAGAATTTATAGCATAATATAATAAAATAAGCAGTAAGTACCTACCTACTTACTTACATAATATGTGCAACTTTTTAACAATATTCGGAATGGGTAGGTAATGGAATGTAATAATGTGTGCGTAGATTGTTTAAAAGCGATAACCTCGCAATCCTTGGTCTCTAAGGTCCGGTTGTTTAAAAATATGATTCGAGCAGATAATTTATAAAATAAATGATATCTATATAGAACGACGATTTAATTTAACGGCCACCAGGACGCCGGTGGACACATCGGTCTGATGACCTCATCCTCACATCTGCACAACTCGTAGCCTCGTAGGTATCGTTTTTACGAGGCTTCCGAGAATGTAGCACACAACAGCGCACGCAGCACTACACTGCGACTCGTTAGCTTTTCAGCCATTATTTTTATTGCGAAAGATGTCGAGGATTGCTCTCAGATGATCTTCACATATATTAGCTAATAGTACTTATGGAAACGACAATATGTAGACACAAGAAAATATGAAATATCCGACTAATTTTAGTAGCCAATAGTTAGTGACATTGAATTAGCTCTCTTATTCCTAAATGCACTGTCTGAAAGTCTGAATGCAATGCCACTTCATTTGAAAACCCGTAATATTTGCATCAGTGGCTTCAGTTTGCTAGTTTTAACTTAAAAAAGGGATTCTCGTGTTATGCATGACGTGAGTCACTGCGTGTTACATATGTATGTCGAGTTTAGCCAATCGCCATCTACCAAGATAAATAAATCCACATAAATCCAGTACTTCACCCGACCTGGAAATGAAATTTTTACTCCTTGCTTAGCATTCGTGGTTGCGGTCACTCGACAAATTTAATGCAATATACTGTGTAGGTAATAAAGTCTTTAATTTAGCGTCTTCGTTAAGTAAGCTGTAAGCATCATTATGTAGGTAAGGTTAGGTGGGAGGGTAGGTAAGTTGTTCGATAATAATAATATACTTTGATAAGCACTTTCATACTAAGTATAAGTACGTAATATTAGATATGCATTGTTTCGCCATGTGAGGGCATGGCGATACAGGACGCACGCTCTGTAACTCGATCGCTGCTCACGTTTGCACTGCAAACACATAATAACCACAACAAACTGTATTTACAATATTTGAATAACGATCGTTATAATGAACAAATTGATTGGGAGCAATTTGTCGGCACGAACTGACGCTGCAGTGTGTCAGTGCCATGACGTCACGCACAACCAGCTTAAGTTGCAGGTCGCCTTGTCGCATGAAGGTGCCGGGTACCTTACAATTGGCTCAATTGAACTGCGGCCTGAAACCATTGCAGTCACATGTTCACGAAGAAATCAATGTGACCACGTAATTTGTAATGGAGCGAACCTATCCTCTGGTGGTTCCTGACACAGACTGTGGCTATAAGATGTATTCCATAGCGTTTTCCATGGCAATATGATATAAATATAATATAGGTATAGCCAATATATCAAACATCTTACATGTACCTACTCCTACTAAGTAGCGATGTATCCCCCGTACTGCATGGGTGTCGCTGGGGCATATCGTGTGAGTCACATCCTCGTGTCTGACCACTAACATTATTTATTTCCCATTCCTACCTCATTGTTACACAACATATTGTTACAAAACTCATGGATATTAAAAGCTTAAGTGTAGTAAACTGTGGGTTGTACGCTGTACTGTTGGTCAGAATCAAAAACATTGTAGAATGTTCTAGAGATTGCAGTGCGCTGTAGTCGCTCGCTCGTTGCTTGGGAGAATCTGAACATGTAGGTTAGGTTTATTTCATGTAGTTTGTACCTATTTGACCTAAATACGCGGCCGGAGCACGCCCCGCGCCGCTCTGCGCTGCAGTGCGCACCCTACATTTAGGCCGGCAACACACCGGAATATTGCGCGCATGTACAGGATGTAAATAAAATAAATAAAAAGGCCTTATAATTCATGGAAAAGAAAAAATTATATATACTTTACAGGATGTACACCTTTTTTTTGTCAGGGGAAAATCATCCAATGACTTCTCCCGCCCCGGGCTGGGCGGGAGGGAGTGTCAGACTCTTACTGACTAAAAACCCGCCCGTTCCTTCTCCTGCTCTGGGCAGAGATCGCGGTGCCTCATTGCGCTTACCCCGCAACCCCAGCTGAACATCAGCCCTATTGGGCCCCGTCTGTGGTGGTCTATTGGCTCTTTGAGGCGCGCGCTGAACGCTACGCGCCGTACGCTCGGGTCTGGTTCTGGTCGGGCGGCGAGCTAGCCTTACTCGCCGTCCGCAGACCCGTGCTTACGGTGGCCGGAGATCATCACAGGATGTACACCTGCGATATTAATTAGCTTTAACGGACCTACATGTATAGCGGGTGTATTTCGAAGCTTGGCAATAATTTAGAAATACCTAGGTTCTTCATACTTTGCACTAGTGGTTAAAAATACAAAGGGCATCTAGCTGTCAATGAAGTAATCCCACCTTGGAGTGTATATTGGAAGGAGGCTTCGCGCGTCTCATCCACTGGCATGCTCTGTGTGGGCCTACCTAACGTTTGCTAATGACTATTGCAGATGTACAACTGTACGTTATGTCCCCAACAATATGCCGCGTCGCTGTATGACTCGACTGTTCCCTGCTGTGCCCTGCACTGTACTCGTACTGGCTCGGCAATCATTGATAATATATAATAAGTAGCTCCGTTACGTTAGGTACCCACTGAAATGTTATTCGTGGCTGTCCTATCTTTTCATTAATGTGCTTATAAATAAATATAGCAACAATATCTCATTTCTTAAATCAGTTTTTCCATTTAGGTATAATACTGCATTCGATAAGGAAAAACACTACCTAATAATTTTATTACTGGTGTTGTCACTGATATGAAGTCCATAATCAATTCATTATTTTTTATAAATATATCATAACTGGGCCATTTAAATAAAACAATATTTTAATCTACTTAAACCCAATTCTTATGTTTTGGTAACCGTTTTTAATTAAATTAGGTCTGTCATCATTATTTTTGAACCCGCATTATCTGTAGCGATAGCCTCCCAACCTCGTGGCTCGGCGAACGCGGCGGACATGTTGTATACCGGCCTGCCGGCTGTCGGTACCTACTGTGGGAGACCATAGCAGTACAGGCCAATCCTATCAACCGGCTCAACCTGCAACTGTACAGTGTAGCCAGTGCAAGGCGAATACATGCTATCTACGCTCGCACGTGTGCCACAGAATGATATGAGACAATACCCTAACACGTGGCGAGCTTTCGATAGAGTCCACCTGCTTGTCTGTGTATGTGTCTACATTTATAATACCTTGTTATAGAAAGTGTGACTACTAACGTCGATATCACATTTTGTGAAGACAATCCCTCGTCAAGACCCAGGGCGAGTAGTTACCTATCTATTATGTGCAGTACCTAATAAACAAATATTGCGCAAGCGCATCCTCTTGTAATACAGAATTCAATTAATGAGTTAAGTGCTATACATTCGTTTGTATGGCGACTGGAAACATGATTTACGTGCAAAGTTAATATTATCCATTGGTCACGCGTCCTGAATGAAACTTACGAAGAACCGACTGCACTCGGTGCACCGTGCAATGATTACGCTGCGCGCCGTAAATGTATACTTCATGGAATGTAATATCTGCTAAAGTTTTAGTCCTGTTACAGGAATATTTCGTAATACCCGTGAATTTTGGAAAATTTTTAATTTTGGAAATGTGTAGCTTAAAACTTGTGTAGGTTCCCCCCTGTGTGTGCCTTGTCCTTCCTGTTCAGGGTCGTAACATGACGTTACGCAATAATTTAACATAGTATATTGTTCATGTACATACAACATATATGTATGTAGGTCAGCGCGCGCTCCTCGCACGGAGCCGGTATTTCGCGAGCCGCGGACGGAAGCTCAGCGCCCGCCCCGTGTCCGCTGATAGCGCGACCCTCGCCGCGATAACACTATAAAAACATCGCTTTTTGTGCCAAAGCCCGGGTCATTCATTGTTTTTAATATAAATGAAACTGGCTCGTCTCTAAATGATTTAATTAACTATCAGTTCTTCTTACTGAACGTATCTACGCGCTGGATTTAATTAGGTCCCTCCCCTCCGCCCGCTGTACGCAGTGTATGCACGACAGGGCAGGCAATGTTTTGACATGACTTTGACTAGCTCTTGACCGCTATTTTGTCCGGATGGAACTCTTGAGGCTGAATTTGGACTATTTAATAAATCGCCTTTGCAAAACCTAATCTACTTTTGTATGTTGTTGTTATTTACCAGTTCAGGCACTTCTTTCGTTATTTATTATTAGATCATTTATTTCCGTGATACAGATATACAGTCCTCAACGGGGAGTTACCAAAACATTTCCCGTTTCCGTGAAATAAAACTATCCTATGCTGTATTTTCTATTCCGTGATCCTATGCTATACCCCCATCGGATCTCAATCTTTTGATTTGGTTTTGAAGACTGATAATGGATTGATCTCTCTCTCACATTACTTCTCTCGCCCAGGGAGAGGCGAGAGGGAGAGCCAGACTGGGCCCTGTCTCTATTTGTCGTTTTCTGTTGTCTATTTGGCGGAATGCTACATGCCGTACCTTTGGGCCTGGTTCTGGTCGGGGGCGATCTACCCTTGCTCACTGCCCGCACACCCATGCTTACGTCTAAGATCAACGCTCGATCCCCGACAGTGATCGACAAGGTGATGCCGCTATGGCGTCTTTAGCCACTCCTCAAAGAGCTTCTTACCGCTGCTATGGATAACAGCGTGCCCGACATTAATGCGCTTGCACCCGTTAACACTACCTACTACTAATCTTAGATTTTTCTAGTGTGACCTTAACAACAAATCTAGTGTGGGAATCAAACTCAACGACCATCAACCTCTGATCACAGCTTTGAGTAAGTAAGAATACGCCCTAGCGCACGCGGCGCGCCCAGTACACGTGTCCCACACCCTGCGTAAGAGCACGGAGTATATGCATATAATGCACCTGCAACCAAATATATGCACCATGGCGTCCTCACCTCCTGCCTGCGGCACGCTGTGCTTACCGGGCACGGCAGCTTCGGTAGCTTCCTGTTTCGGATTCGAAAACAAGGAGGCGGAGCTCGTGAAGGAGCTACCGTCCTCCTCACGCCCCAGCCGCCGCAATAGGCAACATTCCGGGCGTCGGGGATCGAGAGATGATCTCCAGCCACCGTTTGCCACTGTTTTAGTCAAGAGCCTGACACTCTCTCCCACCCCATCCTGGGTGAAAGAAGTCATTTGATGATTTTCCCCTCAGAAAAAATAAAGCTAAACAAATGTATGCAGTCGTCCGGCCATGCCGTGGTGCAGTCGTCGCGTAATATTGATACGCTCATGAAATAGTTTCGTAACGCGCTGTAACGATGTTTGTCAACAAGTATCCGTTTAATATTGTGTTATAGTGTATGAATGTGTAACACTTGTTTAATTGTGTACAGCTGCGGACAACAAACACTGCAACAAACGCTGTACTCACTGTCGAAGGACCAACGAAGACTTCAACAGAGGACCAAATGTCTCGACGTTTTTTTCCCAAACGATTTATCTAATTCAAATAACAGTCCTTCCGTAAGCAATTTTAACATATGACCATTGGGAGGGACTTCTAGCATGGAACTAGTCTGCGCAAAATCATCGAACAGTTAATTTCTTTTTTTGTTCAATAAGCTACTGCCAGGAGTAAGCTTCAGCTAAGCACTACTCCTGGTAGTCAGAGATCTTCAGATCGAGCTCAATAGTGCTATCGCAGAGACGATGGTTCATTGTTGGAAACAGAAAGACGAAACAGAGATCATACATTAGTATTAAATAATTTTAAAGTAAATGTTATCTATACTAACTATATGTATAATATACGTATATACTATATTACTTGAAACTGCTGATCGGATTTCCAAAATTTTTTTACTGATAGATAGCTACAATGTTCCTGAGGCAACAACAAAATTATACTGCATTTGCGTATTTTAGATGAGTATTTCTTTAAACGCTGTTGCTTTTAAATTGCCGGTATTCATAAATTTTACACGCGTGCGAAGCCGCGGTCGGAAACTAATCATATATATGTCGCAGGGATATGATAAAAACAGATATTTGGCCAAATCTCTAAGGGATTTGATGAAATCACGATTTGGAGATTTAGGGATTGGGGCAGGAGAAGGATTGGGCCTCCGGTAACCTCACTCACACGGCGAAACACAACGCTGTGGTTGTTTCACGCCGGTTTTCTGTGAGGCCATGGTATCACTGCGGTCGAGTCGACCCATTCGTGCCGAAGCATGGCTCTCCCACACTTCGTAAACAAGAACAGACTGGACATGTTTTATTATCATTTCACTAAATAAATTTAGGGATTTGTTGAAATCACTAGATTTGCTTAGGGAAATGATAAAAACGTGTTGTTATTTTAACATCCTCCGTGATTTGATCAAGTCCCTTGGGGATTTGTCCAAATCCCTGTTTTTATCATATCCCTGCGACATATACAAAAGACAAACAGAATAACTGGAATAGCTACCACACAATATATTTTTTTCAAAGCAACTACTATTTTTAATTTGAAAACCCGGAAAATCACGCAGTTTTCAAAAAGTTGCTTCCAGCCAGACACGGCCGTATTGTCACAAAAGGTACACAGAATTTAGAAACAGCAGTTGTTACGTGTCGTCCGTCTAAGTTATGTCAATTATTTTGTTTGTACGATACGTATAACAAAAGTATTAAAACAAATAAGTACAGACCTACATCATATTGGTGTTTATCGAATGAGGCTCACGTTATACCTACGTAAGCTAAATACGTCTATGACAGAATTCTTACTGCACATACAATTGCGTAATATAAACAGTCACAACAAAATATTTTTCTAATTTCGTCGACAACAACCCCTTACGTTGCGGTTATTTAGACCAGAGCTAAATCATTTATAATAGTACGTAATCAATTCTTAGATTAATCTGTGAATTTATGTATTTGTTTGTAGGTACCTACAAATATCCGAATTGCAGCAGAGAATCGAACGCAACTTTAAATTACTTATAGGTCAAATGTAACTTCCAAAAATAATGCATCCGACCTAGATCACACTCTAGAAGGAAACTGTTAATTTCATTTCAAAATAAATAGAGCTAGTCGCCAGATCAACTCCTGTAAGGGAATAAAGAAATATGTATCGTTTACACAGTGCGCAGCGGCTAGTAGCACAGATAACCAGGATATTACACACGATATCTTTACTCATTGCAAAAGCTCACTGTGATTCCTGATCACCCAGTTTTATTGAGGATGGATAAAGGACTACTTATTATCCTACTTTGACATTTTGAAAAGTATATGATTTAGTTAATAGAATAAATGTTTTTGGCTTGACTTTAAAAAACGCAGAATAAAATACTTACAAATTTTATTCAAATGTTTGCAAGTAGGTACTTTAGCAGTACCGAAACTAAGTACTCGGAATGAAAAATATGTGTCATCTGAGTCTAAGCTAATATAAAAATTGGCAATATCTATTAAGTATAAAACCAAAGCAATAATTTAAATATTTAAATGGGGAACGCTATTTTCTGGTGCGTGCCAATTACGAAGGAAACAAAGGGTAATAGTAATAGCAACCATGCCGTACCCAAGGCCCCTTTCAGAATTAATGCATCTGTGTATTTGGTTTGAGAAAACTTTAAAAAGCTGCGTTCGTTAAACCAGTTTTGTAAGGACTTAGCACGCTCTGAGCAAGACTAAGGTTCGGATGTCTGGAATCCTGCGCTCATAACAGCCTAACTGGTTTGTGATTGAATAACCCCTAACTTGACAGTGTTACTATTATATTATATACGTGTGTAGGTTTTATTACTATTAATGCGGTAATTTTAAATTTGTATTATTGTTTTATAACAAGGTTAAAACTCTAAGCCAGAAGCTAAATTACATTAAGTAAATAAAGGAAAATTATTAAAGAGTTTTTTTTAGGTAACAAAGTGTAGGTACAAAATATAAAAATATGATATTCCTAATAAAATATAAATTTACTCACCGGTCCTAATTGGAGTGTGAAGTCAGCGAGCGTCCTCCGCGGGGTGAGCGCGCAGCCGACTGGCGCGGACAGCGAGCGCCGGCGTGTGCGCAATGCTCATCCCGGGCCGGCCACTCTACAGGCTACATTGCAGAAGATCCACGAATATAACACGACACTACAGGATCGCATTACAAAACACATAGCACATTGTATTCAAATTAAAAATGATTAGATACCTACTGTATAGCTGTGCACCATTTCCCATCGGGTAAGTAGCAGGCTGGCAGGCTGGCCCGCAGCGTCGCAATGGCGTGCAGCAAGATTGTTAATTGGTTGTAAGCGAGGGTACCGTGTCAGCCACCTCGTGACTAGCGAGTCACGCAGTGAGGTGTTACTGCGTGTTGTGTGGGTACTGGTCAGTACCTACTGGTATCGGCATCCAACCACAATTTCAATCGAGAAATGAACCAATGAACAAACCTAATGAGCCCAAAATCCACATATTTACTCAATACCAGTGTAAGGTTCCAGCAGACATCTTTCAGTTCCATAATCAGACTAGGTCGATTGCGCCAGAATTTTTTTTTTCTCCAAATCGTTGCCCCACCCTAGGATTTTCTCCCATGTGGTGGGTGAGTTTACAAACATACAATTTCACATGTTACACATCATCGCCAGACCCGGAACAATAATTCAATTGGTTTTTATTCATTTATTTATTTATTATAGTGTGTGAAGAGTATCTTTATTCCTTAATTTATAGTGAAACGTAAGAAAATTTAAAAATTAATTTATGTAACTTATAACTATATTTGCAACATAAATTACGAGGCTATTAACGCGAAATTAATTATCTAAATACCTAGGTAGGCTTGACGTTTCGACCTGGTTGCAGAGGTCGTGGTCACAAGCACACTGAAGATGCGATGTCACAGCTCCCTGCATTCGGGCGATGAATCTTCATCTATCCCCTTATTTTTACATTCTACCATATTAGGCCGTCTACACGCTACGCTGACCGTATCCACAGATGTGTTAACCGACTTTGAAGAAAAGCGAGGTTTTGTTTTACGAATCACTGAATTCCACGTTGACGATAATTTAAAGCCGTCCTCCCGATTGAAATTATTTGGGCATTTCTTTATTTCAACCGCTTCACGCACAAGCGGCTGACTGCACGTCATAAATTCACGGCTCAAATTCATTAAATAGCTCAATTCTTTTTGTGTGGACGAAGACTTCACAGGCGTGCAATGCTTGATTCTATACCTACTTATAGTAGAATAATCATTTTTTTAAGATTTTTCAGAACACGCAGAATTATGAAGAATTTTAGACACGTTTAACTCCGTAGTAGGACCACCGATGACGCGCGCTCCTCAGAGAGCCAATAGACAACCACAGACAGGGCCGTTTTTTTTGTGAGGGGAAAATCATCAAATGACTTCTCCCGCCCAGGGCCGGGCGGGAGGGAGTGTCAGACTCTTACTGACTAAGAACCCCCTGTTCCTTCTCCTGCTCTGGGCCGATGTCGCGGTGCCTCATTGCGCTTACCCCGCAACCCCGGCACAGGGGTTAATTGTGGGGTAAGTGCAACAAAATTCCGCAGCCTCGACTTAGAGCAAGGGAAGCAACTGGGGGTTCCTGCTGAGCTAGTGGTATAATCAAGGTGGCGCGATGGTCACCGTTTTTCTGTAATGAATAGTATTTTTGATATCCGAAATTTAGAGTAAACAATAAAATATAACATAAAGGTAACACGGTTCTTAAATTAGGTACCTAAGCATGCCAGTATTGAGAAACATATTCGCTTCTAATTTGTATTTTTTTTACTTGCAATAAACTAGTGCTTGACTGCGATCCCTCCTGATGGTAAGCAGTGATGCGATCGTTGATGGTAAGGCGCACTAGTTTATTAAGAGCCTATTCACTCTAGCCTTGAAGACACCTAAATTGTATTCGGACGGAAAGACTGCAGCCGGCAAACTGTTCCAACCCCTCGATGTACGCGGTAGATATAAATGACGAGGCAAAACGCTTAGTCCGGGCCGCAGGTGTCTCAACAACGTAGGGGTGAATATTCGCCGTACGCCGGGATGTCCGAAGGTGAAATTGGGATGGCGGAATCAAATCGTGCAATTCCTGGGCACACTCTCCAAAATGCATCCTGTAGAAAACCGCAAGGCTGGCTACTCTGCGCCTGCGCTAGAGACTGAAGATTGGACCCAACCAAATCTGGATCTCCAATCAGCCACTTTGCACGCCTTTCGAATCGCCCCACTGAATCTAAAGCCGCTAGGTGGCATTTTGCAGCACCAGCCCATATGTGGCTGCAGTACTCCACACACGATCGGACCTGAGCTTTATACAACATTAGAAGCTGACTCGGTGTGAAGTACCGTCGGACTTTTGCAAGAACGCCGAGTTTTCTAGCAGCTACCTTGGCTTTGGACTCAATGAACCGCCCAAAGCTGACTAAGCGGGTGATATATATAGATAGATTATTGAGAAACCATGGAGTTTCTTGCTCGTTCTTCTCCATCGGAATCTACACTGGAACGAGCAAATAGCTTACTAAGAGGACTGACCGACAGACTGACACAGTTTGTACCTTTATATAAAATAATCAAACAAGACGTTCAAAAGTGCCTGTATGGGTCTAATTAAAATAAATGATTAAGACTTTGGATTGAGGAGCCACATCAGATTTTTCAAATCTAATCTCACCATTATTTAGCAGTTATATCGCTTTAACTTAATCCTTACCTATATCATCTGGTTGCTGCTCCTTCGGACGCCCGATCCTTACCCCTCTCCATCCTCGGCGGCGACCTCTCGCGCCCGGCCTTAGTCAAGGCCATGGTGCGGAGTGAGAGGTACTGGGACGCCGTCTCCTCCTTTTGTAAAGCAGTCATGCTCGCAAAGAGAGAGGCGGCCCGCGTGAGAGAGCAATCCTCCTCCTCACGCCCCAGCCGCCGCAACTGGCGACACTACGGGCATCGGGGATCAAGGGACGACGACGAGGGCCGCCCGACCAGAACCTGGCCCGAGCGTACGGCGCGTAGCGTTCCGCGCGCGCCTCAAAGAGCCAATAGACCACCACAGACGGGGCGGGGCCCAATAGGGCTGATGTTCAGCCGGGGTTGCGGGGTAAGCGCAATGAGGCACCGCGACCTCGGCCCAGAGCAGGAGAAGGAACAGGGGGGTTTTTAGTCAGTAAGAGTCTGACACTCCCTCCCGCCCGGCCCTGGGCGGGAGAAGTCATTTGATGATTTTCCGCTCTCAAAAAAAACCCCATCCTCAAATCTCTTATAACCCAGGGACCGGCAACGCACTTGTAGTAATCCCTTTGGTATTACGAGTATGTAGTATCAGCGCTACCATGAGCAGCGCTGATTGCTTGCTCTGGTGAGTGCTCGTTTCATGAAATAAAAAGAAAATCTCTTCTTTTGCCAGCCACCAGAGAAATTTACCAACTGTAGTTCCAATTATAAAGAACTTACCTACCTGCGGACGTATCGGATAAGGATAACTATTGTCCCATTTCTCTTGCTAACACAGTTACTGGCCAATGTGTTGGACGATTCTTCTCTGATGATTCTAGAAGCCCAAGTCAAATTCAAAATCGTTTATTTCAACTAAACCACAAATAGGTACTTTTAAAACCTAAAAAATTGGTAGTCTGTTCGACATTGAAGCTAGATAGATGCTCGTCCCAAGTTGTAGATTCGAATGGAGAAGAACGAGCTAGAAACTCCATCGTCCATCGTTCGTCAAAGCGCAAAATAGTGTCTCAAACTCTCAAGCACTAGGCAAGGGGGGGCCTTCTGACTAAAATCTCCCCACTTCCTTACCCCCGCCCCCCTGTTCCTGCTCAATGTCATATTAGCTACGCGATATAATTATGGTACTGTTGGGACCATCGGTAGGAACTATTTCTAGGATGTTGGCAATATGTGAGGCGTACGCAGGGGTACAATGCTTTTCAAGGGTAGGTCTTTCTCCTAATATTATTCAGGTCACCTTCACACAGCAGACTATTTTGTCCGATGATGCTGATCTAAACTGGTAGAGCAAGCCTATAGGCGGTCAGAAAACGTTATTGTAGATTTGCTTGCTGCTCTTCTCCGTTTGACAATCGTTTTTGTGGAATTTTGTCAATTGTGTATGCGAGCAGTATGTGGTTGAATCATACACGTTGGGCTGTCAGTGTCCAGCGTGTTCAACATACAATTTTATTTTCAATTCTATGTTGTTGCGTCTGCTCCCGACTGCAACAGTACGTGGCTTACGCGGTGTCCTGCGTGAGCAACGAACGCGACGCGACGCAACACGACGCGACGCAACACGACGCGATGCTATACGCGACAAATGTCCTACGTGCCGGCTTCATCTAGTTTTTTACATATAAATTGACGTGTAAAAGTGCCGTTTTATGGCCTATTTGCAAAAATAAATTCATTGTTTCATTATTTCGTGATTTTGGTCATTAAGATTACGTCGCGTCTCGCCGCAGACTCATATAGGCCACATGTAGGGTATGCCGTTGATTTGATCGCGTTCGTCGCGTTCGCAGCGTCGCGTCGCGTCGCATTACGTCGCCCTGTGTTGCGTCGCGTTCGTCGCTCACGCAGGACACCCCGTTATGTTTGTTTTTAAAAAATAAGTAATGTGAATGAGGATTTTTAGATGTCATAAAGCATCCTTAGGGTGATTGATTCCGGTAACGATTGCCCGATCCAACACAAGTTATTTAATGTTTAATGTCGTTAAATATTGAATTATTCTTTAATTGTTGTTTTCTGAAATAAATGGATTATTATAAATTAATTTCTCGCTGTAAGTGCCAGGAATAGGAATCAGGAAATTATGGTAAAAGGATTAATGGTGAAGAAATAAAACTCGCGGCGTGTTACAAAAAGTACATCTCTATTAGAGAGGGCAACGCTTGGCGCCGCGGTCAGGGCGCGGGCGCGGCGCGGCCAGGCTGCCCCGCGCCGCGCCCGCGCCCCAGCCGGTCGCGCGCATCATACATTAGTTTACAACTGTACTCCACAACCTTTAGCCCCCGCACTGCTACTACAGACATGTCGCCGGTGACGAAGGCCCCGCACGCCCGACGAGCCGACAGTCGCCGGCCAAAACTTCAATAAGCGCACGCGACGCACTCACTTAGTTCGGGAGTCTGTCTTAGTAGTGTTGGGTCTAAACTTTGTTTACAGAATCATTTCTTATTTTACTTGCAAACGCTGTTATAACGACAATGAAATTTTCCTTTGATATAATTACGGGACGTGTAATTAATAATGAAGAGACACGAGCAACGTTTACAAGTAAACGTGTGTAGTGTAAATAGGAGCGGGCCTGCCCACTCGAGGACCGACATCGGAGCCGCCCCGCCTGCCCGGCCCGGGCCCGAGCCTGGCGCGTACACTAGCGACAAGCTAACGCGATGTCCGTCCTACTACAGCGTAACGAGACTCTCGAATATTATATTTACAATAAATAAGTACACGAAATTTTGCACAGCACGTAGTACCACTACATGCTTCACAACTCAATACAAAAACAATGTACTTACACATATTAGTAGTACAGTTAAAAATTGATGAAAAACTAAATAAAAAAATACAGTCACTGCCATTTTTTTAGTTTTCTTTAAACTAATAATAATATTAGAATATAATACAGTTTGAAATCGTTATCGATACTGGCACGCAGTAGTGAGGGCTGGCAGTGGCCACTAGTCTCCGCGGCCTGCGGCAGCGCGCTACTGCGCCCGGCATCCGTCACATAATTACTTCATAGATATCTTAGTAAATGCATAAGAACATCTGCATCAATATCGTTTTAGCGAATCGATACAATAACATACGCTTTATTTTAAATACAAAATACGTTATTTATATAATCTGGAAAGGGTTTTGGAGCTAATCTAGAATTTATTATTCCGTGAAGTCGGCGACGCGGCGGCGTCTCATATTCCTAACACTATGTACAGTCGTACTGCCGCGCCCCTCGCCCGCCGCCCGCTCGACTCACTACGTACGTACCTCTACGCTGCATTCATAAACTTAAATTCACATTTCAATATCGAATTAAAACGAAACACATCATAGAAGCTTAGCATATCTTACATAGGTGAAAACGAAGGATGACAGACGAGCGACCGGGCGCGCCGAGGGTCGCGCGGACTTCGGCAGACGTCGTCACAAGAAAGCGAACATCCTAGCCAGCGGGCGCGCGCGCCTAGCGGTGGTAGGGCTAACGCGGCGCGCGCGCCTAGCGGCGGTAGGGCTGGCCCGCGCGCGTCTAGCGGCGGTAGGGCTGGCGCGGCGCGAACGACGCGCGGTGCGACGACAGCGGTCGGCGCCGCGCCCCGTCGCGCGCGCGCGTCTTCTTTTCCTCCACGTTCAGCTTCACGCCGCCCTCCGCGCCCTCGCCGCCGAAGTACAGCGGCTGCAACACCACCAGACCCTCATTCTCGCTACTGTAGCTTTCAAACATTTGCTACCCGATACTCAAAACAATCATATATCGGACAACGCAACGTACGTAACTAAGATCATTGTTAATTAATTTTGTCTCTAATAGAAACCTCTAAATTACTGTTGTGTTTTTTCTTCTCAGAGTAGTTAGGTAGGAACCCCATATCAAGTATTTTGTTATATATAACATAAAAAAATGATGAATAAATAGTAGAAACAGCATGCATACGTACCGCGGCGTTGAGGCAGTCGTGCGCGGCCTGCGAGGTCTCGTACGTGATGAACCCGTAGTTGGGGTGCTTGGGCGCGCCGGGCACGGCCGGCTTGCTGTGCACGCGCAGCTCGGCCACGGGCCCGAAGCGCGCGAACAGCGCGCGCAGCTCCTCCTCCGTCGCGCAGTGCGGCAGGTTGCCCAGGAACAGCTGCTGCGCGTCCGAGTAGCGCCGCGACTCGCGCGCCTCGCGGGGCTCGCGCGACTCGCGCACCTCCGCCGCGGGGGCGCGCGCGGCTCGGGGCGCGGCCGGCGCGGCCGGGGGCGCGGCGGGGGGCGCGCTGGGCGGGGACGCGCGTGCACCCGCACCCGATTTCACGAGATTAGCGTACGTCTTGGGCTCGGGGGCCACCGCTGGGGAAATCCAAATATATAATAATAATCATTTAATAACCACTTTACAATTTTATGCATAATATCTATGTGATCTATATAATATATATGTTCTCATATGATGCCACAACTAATGGAAATTGAGAGTGAATTATGAAAGATGATAAAGATATGAAATACACCATGTTCACACATGAACGTGCCATTTCAGCGAGATAATCCTACGTGATTAAAATAAGGAAAACATATTACTTATTAAATATATAAAACTAATAAAACATCACGTAATCACGTAAGGTATATAGCACTGAGATGGTACATTACACGCATAGCACACAATCATAATGTGGTATGTGTGTACATAGGATAAGTTTAGTATATAAGATCATGTAGATTAAGCAATAAACGAGTCATTAAGTTGATTCCGACTTTGACTCACTACCCTTCCTCCACCTCTCACTGTGGCCAAGACACCTTTAGCCATCAACCGATCTGTCGTGTGAGTCTGCTCGACAGGCAGTGAGAAAACCATCACCACCATACCCCATTCCTACCCACATTCCGTCTGCCATCATAGGTCTCAGTTGGCAGATATCCTGCACCTATCTATATAAGTATATATAAATACGTATAGTAGGGCTAGGGTCTAGGGACTGTAGGGCTAGGGCATTAGGCGCGTACGAAGAGTAGGTCTGTATCACAGCATACCACAGTGTACCACTATAGTACGTGCCTTAGGTTAAGGGCTTGGTAGTAGGTGCGTAGAAGTGCTGGTCTGTATCACAGTATACCACAGAGTACCAAGCCTATACGCATTGTACGCTAGGCAAATATAGGATAGAACTTAGACTACATAGGTTATTGGGCTTAGGGGATCTAGGATAGGATATTGTAAGTGTTAGATTATCTAGGATAGTGTAGGATAACGTTAGCTAGTAGTACTTAGGATTAGGTAATTAGTCCTGTACAGCGCGATCTTAGCGTAAGGCTATTATCACGCTGTACATTTTGGTCCTTCGAGTCATCGGTAGAGAATCATCTTGTCCCTTAAATTGACTAATTGACTGACAGACAATTGGTATACAGCAGACTTGCGCATAAACCTAGCGCTTGTTTCGTTGTATATCAAGTGACTGACTAACTTAGTTTGCGTCGTTCGGTAGCGGATCAGGTATCGGTCTCCCTGAACAGGGTCGCCCCGGTGCTCGAGAAGTCGCACATACCGTAACGAGGATATAGATCGCAACTAAGTGTAATTGTTCTACCCCCTTATATCATTGTTAGGTTGGTTAGGATAGGATAGGGCAGCAAGATGGAAATACAACAAATCAACGAAATTGTGAAAAGTCAGGAGAGCCACTACAAAGAAATCGGACGCATATTCAACAACATCAAAAAGGATTCGACATCAAGAAAAACAGAGAAGTACATCGCAGAAAGAAGATCGCGACTCACAGAAGTCTTCACCAAAGCATCGGCAAACCATTCACTAATTGAAGACCAGGAGATCTTAGAAGAACATACCTATATGAAGTCTAATTACTTCGGGATCATCAAAGAGCTGTATAAAGATGCTATGGATTATTTGGAACAATGTGAGGCAAAACTTTCAATTTATCAGCAACCTTGTGTTCGGGACCCAGAAGAAGTCAGAACCAACAGTAACAATTCAGCAAAAATGAATTTGCAATTGTACCGCATCAATCAGTTGCGTCAAAACCTCGAGAAAGCAGCCTTGGCGATTGAAGACGACAGATCCAGCTATCACTATAAAACATTGCTAGAAGCCTTGCAAAAACAGTGTGATAAAGTTGAAGAAGGTCACTTCAATATCTGTGAGGAAGAAAACATCTTAGAACATAGTTATTTTCAGGATGAAGTGTTTGAAAAACTGAAATCAGACTACGATAACATAATTGAACGACTATATGAAAAGCTACAACAACATCAAACTGATCACAAACCATCCGTGAAACTACCAAGAATAGTCATTCCAATGTTTATGGGAAGTTATGAGTCGTGGAGTTCGTTCTATGACTTATTTTTAAAAATCATTCATGAAGATAACTCACTCACAGATACAGAAAAGATGCAGTATTTAAAGACGCACGTGAAAGGTGATGCAGCCAGACTCATTAGGCATTTGACAGTTTGCGAATCTAACTATGCGACTGCGTGGACATTGCTTAAGAATCGCTACGAAAACGAGAGAATGATTATCACTAAGCACATTGACAACATTCTCAACATACAAAAACTGAAGGTGGGCTCTGCGAATAGTTTGAAGTTTCTGCATGATACAATTAAGGAGAACCTAGAGGCGATTAAAAATCAGAAAATTGATATCTCGTCATGGGATCCTATGTTAACAAGAATACTGAGTCGTATTTGGGATTCGGAAACTGACGAAAAATACGAACAACAACTCGTAACGCCGAACAAACCTCAAACATTTTCATCAATGATGTCATTTCTGGAAAAACGGTTTATGTGTCTCGAAAATACCATCTGTGAAGGAAAATCCGATTATAAACAACATTATATTCCTAAATCTATAAATAGCTACAAGTGCTGGCTATGTAATAGTTACAATCATAACATATACATGTGCGCACAATTTAAAGCATTGTCAGCAGAACAGCGTAACAATAAAGTGAAGGAGAATCGAAAATGCAAACAGTGCATAATACATGACTCATCCGTTCAATGTCATAGTAATGGAAAGTGTAAACATTGTGGCAAACTAGGTCACCATTCATTATTACACCTTGACATTCAAAAGAAGGGTAATGTCAACAATTACGTCACTAAAGATGACAACAATAAAGGGTCAAAGGATCGGAAAACCATTGAAAACCCTACTACAAGTACAACTTGGACAAAAACCAAGTCAAACATGTCGTCCACAACAGGACCGGACACACAGGATACAACGCTTTTAGCGACGGCCCTTGTGCATACATACACCAAAGATGGTACGTCACACCTACTAAGAGTGCTGTGTGATCAAGGTTCCCAGGCTTCATTCTGCACAGAAGAAGTAGCCCAATTACTATCCTACCCTCGCAGAAAAATAAAATGTGAGGTAGTAGGTATCGGTGACGAGACACCGAAGACTTCAAACTACAGTATTGAAGTGAACTTACAACCGAGATTTCCAAGCGAATTTAAGTTACCCGTAAAACTCATTATCTTACCAAAGTTAACGGGTTCATTACCAAATAAAACTATACAACCAATACAAGCGGAGTGCTTAGTAAACACTTTAATTGCAGATCCGACTTATTACAAACGAGGTCCAATAGACATAATATTGGGCGCTCAAGAATATAGCAGAATATTGTTGCAAGGCCTACACAAAATAGAAAGCGGTATTATTGCCCAGGACACCGAGTTTGGGTGGATATTATCCGGAATAAGCAGTAATCCTTCCACAAACAACATACGAATCACTAGTATGATAACTCGCTCAGTTGAAATGCACCAGTTAACAAAATTCTGGGAATTAGAAGAGATACCTGAGGGAGATAATCTATCTAACGAAGACCAATTATGTGAACATTTGTATCAACAAACCACAGAAAGAAATCGAGATGGCACTTATACTGTTCGACTTCCAATTAAAAACTCTGACGTGGTTTATGGAAATACGCGCCAAAGGGGCCGCTGCAAGACTGTTTCAATTAGAACGAAAGTTTGAAGGAAACAAAACACTGAAAAACCAATACAAAGAATTCCTAGACGAATACCTTAGAATGGGTCACATGAGAAAAGTGCCACAATCAGATTACTACCAGGGAAAATATTATATACCTCACCAACCGGTGATTAAAGAAGACTCATTAACCACCAAATTACGGGTAGTATTTGATGCGTCAAGCAAGGCTAAATCACACACAAGCTTAAACTCTAATATGTACACGGGACCTAGGTTACAACAAGACTTGGCGTCTATATTACTACGGTGGCGTAAACATAGAATAGTATTCATGGCAGATATAGAGAAGATGTACAGATTTATAAAAGTAAATGAACAAGACTGGAAATATCAGAGAATATTATGGAGGGAGTCAATAAAGTATCCAATTGCGGAATACGAATTAACAACCGTTACGTACGGTACAGCATCTGCACCTTATTTGGCAGTAAGGACGTTACAGCAACTGGCAAATGACGAAAAAAGGAATTATCCTATTGCCAGTCGTATAGCACTTCAAGATTTCTATGTCGACGATATATTATCAGGGGAAAATGAAATCAAGGCCGCAAAGCAGTTACAAAAAGAATTAACATGTATGTTACAGACCGGTGGATTTAACCTCAGAAAGTGGTCATCGAATAGTGCGGAATTATTGGAGAGCATACCAAATGATAATCAAGATAACAAAATGTTTAGATTGCCAATAGACGAAGCCAGGAAGTCATTAGGAATTTGGTGGACACCGGATAAAGATAGCTTTTCATATGAAATCATAGTTAATAAAAACCAAAGTCCAACAAAACGGTTCATTCTGTCAGAAGTTTCCAAATTATTTGACCCACTTGGGTGGTTGGCACCAGTTATTATTAATATGAAACTAATCATCCAAGATCTTTGGGCAAATGGAAGTGAATGGGATCAGCCTGTAGAGGACTCTATAAAGAAAAGGTGGGAAGAGATACAAAGCCAATTGAAAGCACTGGAAAGTATATCAATTCCGAGATGGTGTCATTATACACCTAATGCGCAGATTGAACTTCACGGATTCAGCGATAGTTCCGAAAAAGCGTACGGCGCAGTGGTCTATTGTCGAGTAATAAAAAGTGATAACTCGGCTGACGTCACTTTATTACAAGCCAAGTCCAAAGTAGCGCCAAAGAAACGTAAAATAACTTTACCTAAACTCGAATTGTGTGCAGCGTTATTACTCGCAAAATTAATGAAAAACGTTATTAAGGACATGCAAATGGTTAACATAGATATATATTGCTGGACGGACTCAATGATCACGCTTGGATGGATCAAGGGAGAAGCAGATCGTTGGAAAACTTTCGTCGCTAACAGGGTGTCTGAAATTCAAACATTATTACCCAAGGCCAAGTGGAACTATGTTAATACGTGTCAGAACCCTGCCGATGTAATCTCAAGAGGTATCGCGCCAAGTAAATTACAACAATTAGATCTGTGGTGGAATGGCCCAGAGTGGCTAAAAAATAATTCAATACCAAGTACGAAAACTATTCCAGAAATATGCGAAGAAATAAAACGCAGTTTTTACGTAAGCACTGAACCAAAGGAATCAATATGGGAAAGATTCTCAAGCTTCAAAAAGATGGTACGAGTCTTATCGTATTGTTATAGATTTATAAGACAAGGAAGGAACTATGGCCAATTAAGTTGTATGGAAATCAATAATACTGCCAATCATATTTTAAAGTTGGTACAAAAGGAAGTGTTCTCGGAAGAATATCGCGCGATTAGTGACGGGTTGTCGCTAAAGAAAGGCAATAAACTGGCTTGCTTAGACCCATTTATCGATAATGACGGCTTATTAAGAGTGGGAGGTAGGCTCCAAAGATCAAACCTACCTTACGATCAAAAACATCCTATTTTGTTACCGCAGAAGCATCACGTGACTTCAATTATAATTCATGACGCTCACTTGACAACATTACATGGAGGTAATACGTTAACATTGGCCTATATAAGACAAAAATATTGGGTGCTTGGCGGGAAACGTGTAGTAAAGAGCTACATAAGAAAATGTGTAAAATGTATTCGATATACAGCATCGGCAAGTAAACAAAAAATGGGGATACTACCGAGAGCCCGAGTAACAGAGTCATTTCCGTTTACTCATACTGGGGTCGATTATGCAGGACCCATAAAAGTGAGAACAATGAAAGGAAGAGGGCATAAATCGTACAAAGGATATATTGCAGTTTTTGTGTGTCTGGCGACAAAAGCTATACACCTTGAATTAGTAGGAGACTTGTCCACAGAAAGTTTCATAGCGGCATTACGGCGGTTTATGGCAAGAAGAGGCCCAGTATCACATATATACAGCGATAACGCTACAAACTTTGTGGGAGCAGCTAATTTCTTATACAAGGAGCTGTTAGAAATAACCCAATCAGACACATTTCAAAGCAGTGTGACAGCTATGGGAACGCAATGGCATTTTATTCCCCCATCGTCGCCACATTTCGGCGGTATTTGGGAAGCAGGAGTAAAATCAATGAAACACCACTTACACAGGGTAATAGGAGACCAAACATTAACTTACGAAGAATTATCTACATTTTTATATCAAACGGAAGCCTGTTTAAATTCTAGACCATTGTGTGCACAAAGTGAAGACATAAATGATAATGTAGTGCTAACACCAAGTCATTTTTTGATTGGACGAGAAGCAGTAGGAATACCTGATCCACTGTCTAACATTAATACGGATTTGTTAAATAGATGGAAAAATATTCAAAAAATGAAAAGAGACTTCTGGAAAAGTTGGACTCGTGATTATTTACAACAGTTACAACAAAGATACAAATGGAAAACAACGGAGAATAATATATCAATTGGAACGTTAGTACTTATGAAAGAAGATAATATTAATCCTAGCAATTGGCCACTTGCGAAAGTCAAGGAAATACATAAAGGCAATGATGGTTTAGTTAGAGTAGTTACTCTTAAAAAATCATCAGGCGCCATTCAGAAACGATCGATACACACGCTCATTCCGTTGCCTATAAATGCGGACCTGAGTCATCAATCGCAAACCAAAGTTAATACGAATATTACTACATGCTATAGTAATAAGAGTCCGAGGTCTTGTAGAGGCACGTCAAAATGGCTATTATGCTTACTAATAATGTTACAATTGTTCGGTACTATGATTGCTACACAGACATATACCGTGAAGAATTTGTCTCCAGGATTTTATGTTGAAAACATAGGAACCGCAAACATAGATCGAGGCATGTTTCGTATAGAGACGGTATATAAGAAAGAGCGACTGAATGAGGATTACATTAGGATAGAAAGTGCATTATCCAAGTTTAAGCAACTTTGTGACAAGGCGGACGTTGCAACGACGGATACACATTGTAATCAATTTTATCATCATTTACTGGAGCAAAAGACAAAATATGAACGCATCAAAGAATATTTTACAGAGTTTCATGAAACGCGAAGGAGAAGGGGTTTGCTGGGGAATTTTTTAACCTCAGTGTTTGGTGTAAATGACGAGATATACAGAGACATAGATTCGTTAAACTCAAACCAACAAAAATTGATTGAAGCATCTAGTCACCAAACTAAAATCATGATATCGGCTATTTCCCAAGTAAATGGTACTGAAGAAAGAATAAGACATAAACTAGAAGGATTTCAAACAAAACTGTCACAAGTAATAGAGCGCATAAATAGCTATGACTATTGGTACATTAAAACTAATCACAATGATATAAAGATTCAGATTTTGCAAACGTTCCAAGTAGCCAATAATTACATTGACGAAATTTTAAACTACTACAATGGGTTATTAGAAGTATACTTAACAAAGGCTAGCGTGTATAGTGTCTTGCCACCCAAAAATGTTAGTGAATTAATATTTTCCGCAAATAGGAAGATGCCATCCAACATTAGAATAGTCCAAGAACTATTATTAGATACAAGGATAGTCGAAAATATGACTCATATACAAGTACACGCTTATTTTCCAATTAAAGATATTACAAAGTATACTTTAATTCATGTTACACCAGTACCTAAGAAGAATATGAACAATACGTTCGAAAGCATAGAAGTATCGAGAGCATTTTTAGCAATTGATTACAATAATGAATTATACTTCGAACTGGACCACGAAGAATTCAAAGAGTGTATACAAAGGCACGAACAGTTTCTTTGCTTCCCTGGAGTGGTGAAAAACATGCAATTAAATGAAAATTGCATCGTTGACCAATTATTCAAAAATCAAACTAACACTAAATGTCCTACCCATATCTTTGAAATGTCAAGTAATATAATTTGGAAACAGCTATGCATGCAAAACTCATGGTTGTTTATAACAAAAACTAGTAGCACTATATCCATAGTTTGTGATAGTAAGCGAGAAGAAATAACCATTCAAGACGTAGGAGTAATAAAAATCGCTGACAATTGTATCATAAAATCCGTTAACAACAGACTCGCTGCTAAGAGAACGTTATCAATTCAGGTAGCAGAGTCCTTTTCAAAACAACTAAATTTTAGTATATACACATATATATCAAATCGAAGTAAAAAACTAAATATATCTAAGGAGGCTGTAATAGAAAGTTCCAATGACTTTTATCAGCACTTAATAAATGAAGAGTCTGGATTGGAAATAGAACTTAACGATAACATATGGAAGGACATTCAATCTCACACATACTTAGTGAGCTGCGTATCATCAATAATATTGATGACAATTATAATTATAGTTGTTTGTTATGGTCCCAGGATAGTTACGTGTACGAAAACAGGAACACATCGACTTCGACAACACCCTAAATCATCAAAAGCTGATCCGCCACACCCACAACGTGCACCAGATCAAGGCAACAACCAGCCATCTACATGGAACGCCATCTACAGCCAGCCGAACCAACTACTGAAGCCTCCCAGGAAGCAGCCGGAGAACCAGGACGCAGCCAAGGATGACTCCATAGAACTATATCAAATGGAGTTGCCTGTTCCTCGGAGAGGGCAGAATGTTCACACATGAACGTGCCATTTCAGCGAGATAATCCTACGTGATTAAAATAAGGAAAACATATTACTTATTAAATATATAAAACTAATAAAACATCACGTAATCACGTAAGGTATATAGCACTGAGATGGTACATTACACGCATAGCACACAATCATAATGTGGTATGTGTGTACATAGGATAAGTTTAGTATATAAGATCATGTAGATTAAGCAATAAACGAGTCATTAAGTTGATTCCGACTTTGACTCACTACCCTTCCTCCACCTCTCACTGTGGCCAAGACACCTTTAGCCATCAACCGATCTGTCGTGTGAGTCTGCTCGACAGGCAGTGAGAAAACCATCACCACCATACCCCATTCCTACCCACATTCCGTCTGCCATCATAGGTCTCAGTTGGCAGATATCCTGCACCTATCTATATAAGTATATATAAATACGTATAGTAGGGCTAGGGTCTAGGGACTGTAGGGCTAGGGCATTAGGCGCGTACGAAGAGTAGGTCTGTATCACAGCATACCACAGTGTACCACTATAGTACGTGCCTTAGGTTAAGGGCTTGGTAGTAGGTGCGTAGAAGTGCTGGTCTGTATCACAGTATACCACAGAGTACCAAGCCTATACGCATTGTACGCTAGGCAAATATAGGATAGAACTTAGACTACATAGGTTATTGGGCTTAGGGGATCTAGGATAGGATATTGTAAGTGTTAGATTATCTAGGATAGTGTAGGATAACGTTAGCTAGTAGTACTTAGGATTAGGTAATTAGTCCTGTACAGCGCGATCTTAGCGTAAGGCTATTATCACGCTGTACACACCACCTACTTTCATGGTGTGTCACAGGTGAAAAACATTACGTATTTTTAAGTGTTTACTGAGTGGGACTTTACTTACGTGGATGAGGCGGGGGAGTAGGCTCGCGTTCGGGTTCGGGTTCCGGGGCGGGCTCCGGCGCGGCTGGCGCGGGAGGTGAGGTCGGGCCCGCGGGGGGCGCTGCGGGCGCCGGGGCGGGCACTGGCGCGGCAGGCGCGGGCGGGGCGGGCGCCGGCGGGGGCGCGGCCGGCCCGGCGCCCGCTGCAGCGGCGCTGCTGGCCACCGGGGGCGACGATGCTGGCTCCGGCTCGGCCTCGCTCGTAATGCTGGTCCCTGCAGTGAGAAAGATACGATTAATACGATACTTAACACCGATCACCTAATTTTCTCATCATCATTTACTGCTTGCTAGTTGCTGCTTCGGAGCAGGTTCGACATAGTCTGCTCGCTTGGCTGGCGGGTTGACATACTGATATAAATATTGCAATTTAAAAGGTTTAGAAAGCTAGTCTCTATCGCCCTTGATCACCTCATACTACACTCGCGGAAGAATGAAGTCGTGACAGGTATATTCTATTCTACCATCACCAGAACGTGAACAATGTATTAATTCTTTCAACAAAATCCACCCATCGTACTTACAAAATTTCGTGTTTATAATATAAGTAAGACTGATGTAGCTTTATTATTTTCTTTTTGTTTTAATAATTGTATCATGTATGAGAATTAGGTATTTCAATGAAAGCAGATTTGTTGTATGTTAATCCAAATAAGACAGCTGCAAGTATATCTAGTTTGATGGAGTACCGTGCAATGCCTGCACGAGATCGCGGTGGTGGTGCAAGGCCAATGGGTGCCCGTTGAGGTGGGGGGGCGCGGGTGGCGCTGGCGGCGCGGGGAAGGCGCCCGGGAAGGCTGCGGCGGCCGGCGGCGGCGGGAAGTACGCGCCGCCAGTGCCCGTGCCCGGGGACTCCTCCTCCTCCCCCTCAGACCGACCTGAGCCGGAACCCTCTTCGTCCGAGAACACGATGTCCTACAAAGTTTACATCATAAGGTGAATACGTGTGTTATCCCTAACACACAGCACGTGCTACGAGTAGCAACAAAGTCATTGTAGAGTCACACCTGGTAACGGAATATATCGTTGTGGACGTAATATTTTTTGGGCGACTGCGCGGCCAGCACGAAGGTCTGGGTGAAGCGGCGCATGGGGGCGCCGCCGTTGGACAGCTCGCCCGTCACTTGCACGACCACGCCGTTGCCCAGAGTGGCCTGCGCGTCCACCTGTCGACAACAAGTTGGGTCAGTGCTGCGCTGCCATGCACGGCGTGTCGAGCACACGGTACGAGCGATACGGCACCTGACTGATCTTGGCATGGCAATCTCGGAAGTTCAGTTGTTGGATGCGGTTGTGTATCTGTTTCTGCCCAACCACCGGCAGCGTCTCACGGTTGGGCGCATCCAGCCCTCCATGAACGAACGACGAGTAATTGTTATAGAACCTGCAACAAACACGTTGATGGCGTCACTATTGTTGCTATAACTACTTGACTATACACACTCATGTCAAAAATTATTGCCCAACCACAAAGTCTTATATTTTAATCATATTTCAATAATAACTATCATGAGACATATATGTATTGAAATTTTTGAAATTGCCTGTGTTTGTGCACTTTGTATGATAAGTTTTTTAAAATGTACCTAATAGAGTTTAAGTCTACTTTTACAGATAAAACTATATGAGCTAATAGCAATGTGTCTTTTGGTGATTGGGCAACCACTGGTATCTATAAGAGTAGAAATCGCCTCTATGAGCTTTATAATGAGCGGACATATATTAACACTGTTGAATTCAGTGAATATGTAAAAAACTATTCTAAATTATTTAAAAAGGTTTGCTCTATTGCAAAATCACTAAAGAACAGTACCAATGTTATCAAAGACAATTGGAATATTATCGACAGTGAGGCAGGAAGGTCTTAAAGGAGAATTTGTCAACATAGTCTAGTAATTGATAATAAGTTAATAAAAGCGGATGTAGAAATTGCAACTGCTTTTGAACATTTCTTTTCCGACATTCCTGTTTCCACTACTAAGTCACTGAATTCATCTCCCACTGTTGCAGAGTCTTTACTCAAAAACATGTTGTAGCTTGTGATTCAGGGTTTTCCTTCGAACACATAGATAACAAAGACATTGTTAAAATCCTTAATACTTTGAATAATAAAAAGACTGCAGATCTATGGGGTAATTCTGTGTACATTACAAGCTCTGTAATAACTATTGTAGCACCTGTATTAGCTCAAATCTTTAATGACTGTGATGACTGATGATCTGTATTGACTGTGATGTATTTCCTGATCTTATGAAATATTAATTCAATTATTTAAATCAGGTAATACTTTTAATTTCCAATTTAGGGACCTACAATAACACTGATGGTCGTTTTAACTTCCGTTATACCATTGTAGTAATAAAGCCAAATGAACTATTCCGCTTATTAAAGGTGTATAATATATCATTGGAATAAGTCTGTTTCCATACATTTCTTGAGATAGGTTGCTCCAATTTTTTTATATGTAATACGAAACACAACGCTGTTGTTGTTTCACGCCGGTTTTCTGTGAGGCCGTGGTATCACTCTGGTCGAGCCGCCCCATTAGTGCCGAAGCATGGCTCTCCCACACTTAATAGCATACCAATGTAATAAAAGAGCAAATAATGTCGCCGGCCAGCAAACCATTAAACATTTCATAATATAATGGTTATTTGCGGTCAGTAGGAATGAACTTATTGCCATACTAGACAAACTGGTTTAAAACAACAACAGACAATATCAAATTATTAAAATCAACAAGTTATTGTTGTGGTGTAGCAACCATGTCACTCAAACTATGAAGATAACCCTGGTATGTATTTGTAAAAATAGGCTACAAAACACCACGTGGTGTTATTTTTAAGGGGTAAAAACGCCCAGCATTAGGCAAGACTATCAGACTCAAACCGCCCTATTACTTTCTCCTGCGCCTATACATAAATGTTTGCGCTTGCTCCCGCAACCCTGGCCGAACACCACGCGGTGCTCGCAAACCTAACTTGTGTGCTGATAAGCATAGTTTAGGCCTGGCGTATTGCAACGCGTCCATCCTACTTATTTACATAGAATTAACAGCTTACTTAAAACCACATAGTTTTAAAGCTACGCCAAATAGAAGGCTCGCGTCCACTGCTCGACTACAATGCAACTTTATTACCTTTATACTATATGACTATTATGTTAATAAAAGTCAATAAATACTGAATAACTTATTCAGGTTTTTAGATTCGAATATTAGTGTGGATGTCTATTATATCAGAAAGATATTGAGATGGGCTAGATGTGAATATGTTTTAGAAAAATCCAGTTGTACTGAACACATGTCTTGTATTACGTACATCGCATCCGTAAATTTCAATGGAGTCCATCCCTAAAATGCTAAATTATTTACCAATGAGGTAACAATACCAGCTCAAGATATGTTGGCAAAAAGCTGTTACATACACCCTGATGTCATGCTGCACTACAGGATCAGTAAAATTGTATTTGTAAGCAATAAAAAACTAAGGGTAAGTTTTAGTGGGAACAATGTGGTATAATGGTTTCAATACAAAGCACAAAATTGTTCCCATCCTTTCTCCAAAAACTGTTACCTGCTAAAAGCTTATGAAGCAAACAATAATTTAAGTACTAGAGGGTCTTTAGCGATACCACAGAAAATGTATTGTAAATAGATGTTGAAATTAGTTACAAAAACAGTCAATTGTAGTAAAGAAAGATAGTGGTTGTAATTGCCAGTGTTTAAATAATATTAGTCACGTTACTTTGTCATTTGCTAATAGTCAATTTGTGACTCATTCAATACTTCAAAAAGTTAAATCGAATAACTAAATTAATAGGTATATCAAATCTTTGGTAATCTGATTCCGCTGGTGTGTTATGCACTAGTAAAGAAACTTGAGGAAAATATCGTTTACATTTATATGTACTTATTTAAGTTAAGTAACAAGATGAACGGAACAAACACACGCACCATAGCATCCATAAATTATAGTAATGGTACACCATTATTCTTTCAATCTTAAGAGAAAGTAATAAGTATATCTCATCATGCGAGAAAGCAAAGCTTCGGCACGAATGGGGAGGCTCGACAGAAAATCGGCGTGAAACAACCACAGCGTTATTTCGCCGTATGATTGGCCAATCCCTCACCCTCCCCTATTCCTTCTCAATCCTTAAATATCCGCAACCCTTATCCCCAAAAGGACGGCAACGAAACCGTAACTCCTTTTGTGTTGTGGGTGTCCATAGGAGATTGCTTACCATGGGGTAATCCGTCTTATCGTTTAACGACTTATGCCATAAAATAAAGTAAAACGTTGGTTAAATTGAAGATTACCTGTGCAGGTGGGCGGGCGCCTTATTCAATAGCGTGTAGTATTGTCGCACAAACTCGCGACCTACGCTCTGCGGTGACGGAGACGCCTCCATTACCATCGCTGTTGTGGAAAACGCCAATATAGCCTTCTGCTATACCCTGCCCTGCAACACAAACATCAGCAACTCTAGATTCTGTTTATACACACAGCTACATTCCATTCTTGATCAGCTTTAGTCTGATTATAATAATTTTAGTTTCACTACTTTCAGGACATCAAATGACAGATGGTCATCTTAAAATATTTGTTTGATGTTCAGTAACACCTATATAATGGTCTGATTTGGCTTTGACTAATAGCAACTTCTGGCAAATGATTGGTCAGTGTGAGGTTTGACAAGTTTAGTCAAATCTTACCTACCCAATTTTTATGTGAGATACAAGACAACTGAGTTCTAGCAAATCTCAAAATATTAAACAAAATTTAGGCACCTGGTTAGAAATTGTATTGGCAGATTGAAATGAAATGCCCACAGGACTCCTTTAAAACAATTCCGGTATTTTTTTAATTTTTTTTTAAAGGTATATATTTTTATAATAACATTGGCTGTCTTAGTAATTTTTAGTAACCAGATAGATTAAATGTGTGTGAAATGTTGATAAAGAAAAAAACAACATAAAACAAATGTGAATGCTGAGGAAATGGTTAAGGTTCAATTCCAGAAAACCAAATCATTATTGAGTGTTGGAAACATTTATGGGATAATATCAATCTGGCTCAGACACACCCCCTTTACATGGGTTTCATAACAGTAAAACATTGTCTCTTATCAATCAGATCTTATAAAATTGTGAAGTGTTTTATTTTAATGTTGAGAGGATCATGTTGCCTGGGCAAATTGTTTGTTGTTCTATTTTTGAAAGCATTTCTCTGAATGTTTAATCAAAGACAGTATACAGCAACATTATTGAAGTTAATTGTATTGTTTTAAACTAAAGTCACAACTGAAAGGTAACTGGAATGAAACATAATAACCTAAGGGTACCAACTGACCAAACTATTGATGTTGACAGGTGCACTGGCAATGCCTGGTGTGGTTTTCACAATAAAATTATAAATATTTACGAAAATGGACCAAGCAAATGTTTTGCGTGTAAAAGATATATTTAATTAAGTCACCAAACAAAGAAATGCATAAACAGATTGAATTTCTCTTACTTCATTCAAAAAGAAATATTTAAAACATTATAAATATACTACTAACATCAATGTTTCGTTAAAATTTGATTGTTGTACTTTATGGCGAAATTGCAACGATTTTCCGTACAAGACTGAAGCTCTCCTTCACAACTCGCAAGCACAAAATACTTGCAGCATGGAAAAGCTAGTTAAAGTAAACAAGTGACATATTGTGACGCGATTATACTAGTATGTGCCTATTACGGCGTTAATAATGACAAAATATTAATTTACCACTTCGAACACGAATACGATTTAAAAGGAATTCGTATTGTCAAAGCACGCATGGCGACTCGGGCTTAGCTATCAGCTTCTTTTGTTACAACACTAGACGATAAAAACACATTGAATTTATTTCAATTAAACATAACATTACAAAAAATAATAATATTGACACATACGCCTTATGTTACAACAAGCAAAGTACTAATGTAATTGCAAAAATCTAGGGATTTAACCTTTAAAGAGAAATACGTCTGCCGACAAACATACCACAGAAGTGCCATAGTTTTGAAATCAATAAATATTCAAATTTGCTTACCTTATTAAAATTTAGGCATTAAAATAACGTATTCGGAAACAAACTATCGAGAAAACCGTGTAATTTTACGATAAATAAGGACTGAAAACAGAAAAAGAGCCTACCTCACCGTTCGGGTGTCAATTTTGTCGAAAGTCTCAATGTTGCTACATCTAAAATTAGGTTGCGACAAACTTAGTAATTTTGTAATTTGAAAGTCTCACTTAATTTCTACTAAACTTACTAAATTAAATGTTTTTTCATATAAGATAAAATAAACATTCTTCAGCTGTTTTTAACTTAAGATTAAGTTTCTAAAAGTGATTTAAGCAAAAAGTTAATTATTAATTTGTCCTTAACTCTGAGGTAAATGTCTTTGCATGATATAAGTAATTTATCAGTTTGTGAAAATCAATAAAAACATTGGAAAGAACACCCCGAGTGGAGACTTTTCACATTCATTGTAACGATGTTGACTTATATTATGCACAAACTAATTTAGAATGTTATAGCATAGTATTGAATTAAGTACCTAACATGGGACAAATCTGTAATTGCTCCTTGGGAAGATATATTTTTAACTACTTATATATAACATGGCATTTTGGTATAACAGATTGAAATTATTTTCCATTACTTCAAAAGATTTTTAATATATGAGGTCGTATATTTTTTCATTAATTTCTCGGTTAATTGATTACTAACTATTAAAAAAGAGATATATGGGATGCGATTCAAATCTTTATAAGCAATGATATTGTAAGTAAAAAGGTGACTATTTTACTTATAATATAATTTTTTACATGTATAAACTTAAATATTAAGTCTCTGTCTATCTATTTTGATATTTAATATAAGGCATTTCACAATGTGAACTTAGTAGAATCTTGTAAACTGAATAATTATATAATTTTATTTAGGTATCTACATGGTACATTTAGTTTATAGTTTATAAAACCTAAGCTGGAATTTACCCTAAATAAGCAATTCGGCTAATTTAAATGTATTATTTGAAATTTGAATATTTATAATGTTCTGTTATTTGCTCTTTAATTAGGGAACGAATTAAAAATAAAACACTTAACCAAACTATCCGACACAAAACTACTTGTAACTTAAAAGCATTTATTTTAATTATTAACAAAATTAATACCAATTTTGTTTAAATACAATCAGTAGTCGAATTCATTACATTTGTCATACATTTTTTATTATCTTTCGTATTACCTATCAAAATATTAAATAGCGACATAGGGTTACTCTAGAACCACATAAAAAATACGCGGTAAAGCTAAAAGCCATGTAGCAAAATTTGTGGCTTAATGTTGGCAGTCGGAACATCGATTTTTTAATGGGTTGGGTTGGAGAATGTTTTGTCCTTTTTACTCTCATGCTTACTTTCAATTATCTTTGTCACTAACGGGATGGACGCCATTGACCTCGTTGAATCACTGTCTTCTGATTGGTCCTTCATTCTGGAGGGGATGATTTTTTGCAAAAAAAGCCGCGTCTGTTCACGAATTGCCAACATAACGAATGTTTCGCGCCGACTCATCACGCATTTCCTTTCATTCTTCTGCATTTAGCATTCGAAGATAAAGGTCGCGCGTGGACCTTTAGGTTTAAGTTTATTATTAAATAATTTAGCCTAAACATAAGTCATGGCCAATAACGACAACTTTGCACAAGATGTTACTGATAATCAACTAAATGGAAATGCCGAAAATGGTGGTGGCGATACGCAAGAACATAACAGTGCTGAAGCCCCTGGGCGTGATGATGACAGGTAAAGTTCCCTTTTAATACTTACCTACCTAGACTTTTAGTAGTATCTGTCTATTTGTGCATTATTATGTTTAATCATGTGAAAATCATTCAGACATTACGATTATTCATTTATAAATGTATTGCAATTTCTATGTGCGCAAGTCATAATGGCGGCGGTCTGCCATTATCCTTATCGGCGGAGCGCTTCTAATCTTAAACAATCGTTACGATCTGTTCAAAATTATACATTTTCATCTTTACAGTGCGTTCTCTAGGATATAATCTCAGACCCTGAAGTCATAGTTTTTATTTCAGAATATTTCCAGGCTATTTATAAAAATTTAGATTATCTCCGAGCCGCATGAAGTAAAATGGCGTCTTATTTGCGCGTCTCTTTTGCACCCGACACCGGCTCGGTTCAGATATTGATTTTTTTGTTTGGTTCGTTGTTAGCACATTCGTGGTTCGTGAATGCCGGTGTTGAGCGGTTTCAAAAATAGCGGTAAAGCGTACGTAGGTAGTTGCAAGATTTTAAATCGGTAGCGCTGAATGCGTCAGTGAGGGGTCGTCGCCCTCGCGGCGCGGCGCGTTGGTCAGTTTGGGGCGCTACTAACGCTGTGTCTCTCTGCAGGTGTGAGCCTGCGCCGCCGCCGCAGCTGCCGCCGAAGGACGTCATGGTATATATCAGCTGGGCTCACACTAAAGTAAAACTGACCAAACTGACTAGTTGTATCGGCCACTTAACTTTGGGCCTGGATCACCTTTGCCAATTTCAAATCTTGCGATATGATTGTAACATCTTGTTTTCACATTTCGTTGTCCTGATTGATAATGTAAATTTCCAGACTTTACTTTTGTAACTTACAGGTTGTCAATTTGATTTGCTGCAGTGCTTGGAGTTTGTTTTGAAAAAATAGTAGCTGTAAAGTACTGTAAACAAGTACTGCATAGTGTTAATTGATAAATTTTAAGTCAGTTTCTAAATCGAGACCTTCTCAATTGTACATTTCTTCATGTATTAATGAATACTACTATGTGTGTCCACAGAAAACTTTTTGTCGGGGGCCTGAGCTGGGAAACCACAGACAGTGAGTGTTTTTGTTTTGATTAATAGCAGTAACCATACCAAGTTAATTCCTTCATGATGACTTAATTCAGTTCTGCTTCTGATTCAACATTGAAGAAGCTTTTACCCACACTTCTGAGTATTTAATAGCCTGTAATTAAAAAATATTATAAATTTGCAAATGTGACACTAATTTTGTGTTGTTTGCAGAGGAGTTACGTGACCACTTCAGTGCATATGGTGAGATTGAGAGCATCAATGTCAAGACTGATCCAAACACTGGCAGATCAAGAGGATTTGCCTTCATTGTGTTCAAGGCACCAGATTCAATAGACAAAGTGATGGCTGCTGGAGAACACACCATTAACAACAAAAAAGTTGATCCGAAAAAAGCCAAGGCTAGACATGGAAAGATCTTTGTTGGTGGCCTGAGCAGTGAAATATCCGATGATGAGATCAAAAACTTCTTCAGTAATTTTGGAACCGTAAGTTTATTTCTAAATTTATTAAGATATCACAATGCTGCTGACAGAACTGTGATGACAAATCCGGTTTCGGTGAGATAATTATTTCTAGAGATTTATTGAAGAAAAATCCGGGCCACTGATAGAATTATTACTTAAATTCCTTAATTTCCTAAATTATGATATTATTAAAAATAGACTATCTTTCCAGATAATTGAAGTTGAGATGCCCTTCGACAAAACCAAGAATCAGAGGAAGGGATTCTGCTTTATCACATTTGAGTCGGAACAGGTAGTCAATGAGCTGCTGAAGACTCCTAAACAGACCATTGGTGGCAAGGAGGTCAGTACAAAAAACTTTAATTTAACAATTATATATAAAAAAATGAATGGTACAAACAAGATGTCTGATTACAGGTGGACGTGAAGCGCGCGACACCTAAGCCAGATGGTCCCGGAGGAATGGGAGGACGTGGTGGCCGTGGCGGTCGTGGGTTGCGGGGCGGTCGCGGTCGCGGCGGATATGGAGGCCAGGGCGCCTGGGGCAACGGAGGCTACGGCGGCTATGGCTACGGACAAGGAGGCTATGGCGGCGGCTACGACGGATACGGCTACGGCGGCTACGGTTACGACGGCTACGGGGGCTACGGCGGTTACGATTACTCTGGATATCCCAATTACGGTAAACGCGGCAAGCAGTACTAGTATAGTGGCGAGCCCCCGCTAGCCCGCTCACCGACACATTACCTCGACTGATGTTACCTGATCCTAGGATACGATGTGAAACGTAGTAGAGTAAGGCGCTAGGTTAGCGTTGCGAGCGAGGCGCGACTCCGTCCTCGAGATATGCCTATTTACATTATAGTGAACGTTTATTTTACGAGGAGATCGACATCACGCGAAGCTTAGGTATTTAATTTAGTGTGTAGGAAAATATTTATTTTTCTATATATTTAATGTTCTATCGAGATAATGTGTAGTGAATGTTGTCGAGGCGACAGTGTATAATCTGAATATAATCGCAGCTCTGTCAAAATTTGGAAAACTAGGATTAATCATCTCATATAACTTTGCTAAAATCATATTAAGTTGCATATTTTTGTTTATATCTACGAGATGACGCTTTGCGGACTCTTGTACGTAGATCGTAGTGCAGTTGCCCATTCGGCTATCGCTCTTTATCATTGTTTCCACGGGTATAAACTATATTCTGTACATATGTATGTTACCTGCCTTATGTTTATAAGCGTTCGTTTGTAATACCACTTTTGACATATGTAGCAATGTTGCTCGAGTTTCTGTATTTTTTTTTGGTAACTTTACCTTTTCGACGCTCTCGCCACATGCTACATTTGGGAAATGGGGTAAATATGGAGAGACATTGTGAAAGTGATAAAGATATGATGAAGCTTTTGAATAAAGCACTGTTACAAAAATTCTCAATGTGTTTCCATATGTAACCCTAGTCCACTCCTTGCCCTGACTCACCACACGCTTCATTCTTTACCAAGTACCTATAATTTTTTACTTACTAATAGCATGCACAACTAGCGTTACTTAGTGCAGCAGTCTTGTACAAACTGTTGTCATGTGTTTCATCATTAAATAATTAAAAAGAAATGATGTATGGAATTCGACTAAATTACTGGAAATTTATATTCTATTCATAGTAATGGGTTGAATGCTCAAGGTTTAGTAATTTAAAGTTTTTGAGGCTTAGTTGTGCACGCGTCGCCTCACAACACGCTTGTTCCGCTGAGACAGCGTCTCCTGGTGTTGCGGGCGCGGGTAGATCTTAAATCGTCTCGTTGATTTACGTAGGTACATAAAAGCTTTTTTGGAAAAAGTCTTGTAGGTATGATGTAAATTATATCGGTAGAAC